GTGTTTTCTGCTACAGTTCTTCAGATGATCATTTGATGATCTAAGTTTGACAAGGGACAGTGCCTCTCAACAGGATAAACCCAGCAAATTCACTAATCTGTGGATGAATCTTGCCATTCTGGAGTGACTAGAGCACCTGAAGTGGCAGCACACGACCCTCCAACACAGTTAGCATCACTGTGAAGGCAAAGCACGGTGCCATCTGTGCAATGAACATGGTGAGAAGTTCCACAAGGTGTGTCTGGGTCATGTAGGTCATCTGCAACACCACTCAGCACACAGAGCTGTCATTTAGCACTGAGACACCTCTAAGCGCAACACGCAGGTCTGGGCAGCCACCAACTGAACTACCTTAAGTATGAGCACAGGAGCTTTCCCGTCAGGACCCCCACTGTCCCATGTAAGGCAAAAGAAACAGTACCACTCAAGAGACCCAAGAGATGAATGCTCTCCTATTATATCCCAACATACAAAAGAGACAATTCCCCTGCTCCTCTCCAGGATACACAGAAAATAGGCAATGAAGAAGCATCCTCCTAGGACAGACTCTTTTCCATCTCCCTCAGAGCAGGGGAGGAGAAGACAGAGGAGACAACAACTGGGACAGGGAATCCTACATTACACAGAGGACTGTCTCCCAGCAGTTGGACTGGGATGAACATCAGCACTTACTCTCTGATCCCTGTGGGTCAGACAGCTGGAATGTCTTTTTCCTCATTACTTAATCATTGGAGAGGCAGGACTAGGTGCCACTCAGCAGACCGTGGTAGTATTCCTGAGATACTCCTTATATCTTCCTTTATACTCCTAAGTTAAGAATAACAAGATGAAATGCACACAGTTCTTCTACACAGCTACTTTTTCAGGCTTTTCACTGATACTAACAAGAACTACAGTTTTCATTTATATTTGTTTATCTTCAAGAATTTGCTAGATTAATCTTTCTATACTTAAAAGCCGAGGCCCTCCAGAGGAAAAAATTACAACAAACAAGAATGTTTTGTTACCAACCCAGCACAACTGAGCTTAATTTAAACTCTTTTATGACCCACCACAAGGACTAGAAATGCATGCTTTTCTGTGCTTTATTCCAACTGCAGTTTTTTGAGGTTTAAGCAAGGGAATATACAGTGTCAGTTTTCAGAGATGCACTTTGAAAAATCACGAAATCTGAAAAAACACTGTGAGGTAATCAGTGTGATCAAGTTATCTCTCCAACTCATTAGAACTAAAAATCAGTGCCTTATGGTACAATCTCTATTGTATCATGATTCCAGCTTGCAATGATGAGTAGCTAATACTATTTGGGAAGCTTAAATTTTGCTATCTCAAGTTGTTTGTGAAACTCCTTCTCCTAAAATAGTGCTCTAGATGTAGGAAGGAGAAAGATAAAAACAGATCTACTCTGTCCTCTGAGACAGAACTAGTTTACAAAGGCATCCTTGATCCTGATTTAGCACTGCAACTCATACCATTGTACAAAAGATCAATCAGGACAAGCAGAAAAAGCAAGAAAAAAGAGGAAATATAAGATGCATACAGACAGTAAAGCCCACTGGAAAGAACTGTCACTTCTATATTGTCATGTTGGAGACATCTGAAACCCAAAACACACTTTCACATCAAACTGCAAATAGCCCACATACAGAAGAATGTAGTGGAAGATAGAGATAAGTCAGCAAAAAAGTAAAGCTAGAAGCAAAATATTTATTTGATTATCCTCAGGATATGTGCAGGATTACATTTTATGATCAACTTTCAAGACTTTCCCATATAGAATTCAAGTCAACTGACCTTCTTTCTGTCCTAACTCTTGTTATTTCCTGCTAGTTATCACAAAATAGCAGTATCCTTGGCATCATTTAAAGAGATTTCCTACTTCTTTCCACACACGCAAGAGAAGAACAAACAGTTTCTTCTGGGTTTAGTGACAATTAAATGATGTGACCGCTTGTACGGTGGCACGGGCTTAAGCAGAAGTGTGTGACTGCTGTTCCCTTGGTGCTTGAAGCAGTCTTGTTTGCTTCCCGCTTATCTTTGAAAGCAGGAACATCTTAAAATAAAAGCACAGCAGGGCCAGTAGGGAACTAGTTGGCAATACTCTAGTTTTGAAAACATCTTGTGTGTTGGATTGCTCTTACTGAAGAGGACTAGTTAGATTTGTAAAGTCAGGTGAAATTTATAACACCAGCACTGACTGTCTTAAGTACAGTGCACGTATGGGCAGGGTGGGGGTTGATGTTTTTTTGGGTTTTAATCATCAGTCAAGAAATTAGGAGTCTGAGGGAGAAGGACAGCAGCTCAGGTCCCAGGCATGCAACACACTGCAGATTAAACGTATCTCAATAGTCATGGGGAGGGGAGTTATCTTACGATGTTTACTTTCCACCAAACCCTGGCAGAAGGGCAGACAGAGAGGGAATACATGCATGTGCTCACAGAGCTTCACAACAAGGAGATTCTCTCTGCAGAGAAAATTACAGAATTGAAAGGAAATAAAAGTTATTGTCTTTAGTTAGAGAGCATCAATCTGTGACCTGCAAGTGTCCAGGTTAAAAGAAAGTCTACTCACAAGTAATGCAGTCAAAATGGTTTAACTCTTCATTTTTATCTTTGAAAAACTGAGCAATTTTAAATAAACTTGAAGATGTCAAATTAAGACTTCAACCTGGTTAAATTTAGAGAATAAACTAGATGATTAAATGGCCCTTTTCAAGAAATAGTTATTTATTTTCCTGTGTTTATGTACCTTCTTCTACCCAACTCTCCAAACCTGCCACTACCGTTCTCACTCTGATGCACAGGTCCAGAGGAACTGGTACAGTCCTTCTAATGTTATTTCTACCTTTTATTCCCACTCTAACACAAATAATCCTATTATCAGTTTTTAGCATCTGCATGATCAGAACGATCAGGCCCTATTTCCATGTCAGAGCACTAAACAATTCAAAATGAGGTTAGGCAGTTCTACTACTCCAGGATCTATACCCACTCCCATTAGGTTTGCAAATGAGATTTTGACTGCTTTGACTTACAATTCAGGGCAAGTAAGTGCACACTAATGGTGGAAAATATACTGCACATACAATGGCACCACAGCAGCAAACATGCACAGTATCGAGTTATAGTCACACAGTTTGTCACTGATCCTCTCACTGTACCTGTACCTCTGTCTAGCACAGGTTCCACCCAGAGCCACCTGCCCCCCACAGCCCCATTTTCTCTCACACAGTATGATCACTCCCTATGGACAGAAGCAGAGCAGGGCTCTGTGCGCTGCTTCTTCAGACCAACAACAGGGACAGGAGGGACTGGTGAAGGGAAATTCCCAGTGACACCATCTTTATTCCTCCTCAGCGAAGGGTCAGAGCACAACAGAAATGCTGCACATTACAGGTTCAGTGGTGTACTGCAGATTGCGCGACAAAAAAAGAGATGCTCTTGCTGGAGAAGCTGCCAAGTCAGGACGGGACTGACTGACACTTTGTGCTGCTGTACATGATTAAGTATCTGAGACTTAAACAGAAAGATTTTCTGCTAAGCATGGGACAACCAATAATAAGGTGCACATGCTGATGTTAATTTTACAACTGCAATACCAAGATGTGAGTGCTCAGATTGGGAACCTCTTCCTCATCCTGTCAGAGCCAGATTTGCTGATCTTCTGGTAATAATGCCAAGCACATCCTCTCCTACTGCTTCTTGGAAAGTGAACATCTGTATCATTTGTATTTATTCAAGAAGACCCTCATCATCAAGGTGATATGAATAATCTTACATGTTGAACAAAGTAGCCACAAATACATATGTAGATATATGATGTACCCAAAAACATAGCTTGGATTCTGTCCTACACAGTCTTTTATAAATTAAAAATATGAGCTGAGGTGGGAAGATGATGTTTAAATTCACATTTTAAAAGACAGTTACTACTTTGTGCTCTTCTTCATCAACTACTTCAAATACAATCTAAAAAAACAGCCTAAACTGGCCCTCCTTTGTAAGGAAAAATATACTTGTTATGCTCAAGTCAGACAGGGAAAGCAACAGCCCTCAGAAAAGAGTTTGGCTGTACCAAATTCACCTTTCTATTAAATGAATTGTCATTTGACTAAGGGACACAGACTCTTAACAGGGAAATAAAAAACAACTGAACGTTAAATTTTAACCAAGTTATGTACTTTAAGGAAAAAAAACCCAAACAAATCATATAATGTGGTAAATCCCTCTTCCTCACAGAAAACAAAACAAAACAAAAGTCGTGTGTCCCGTAGGAGTCAATGACAGCTCAAGGTTCGACCTCAGTAAGCTGTCAGCCTGCTGAAGAGAGATGAAAACCTGATGCAAACCGTTCTGCGGCTGCTTCTGTCGGCTGGGATTTTGATGAAGGCGTCGACACTTGTGTGCGAGCGGCGGGCGCACCTTTGGGCCCGCAGATGTTTTCCCACGCGGCAACAAACCTCCTGGACCACGACCCTAGTCTCTCGTCACGGGGGTGCCACGGCCAGACGCGGATCACAGCACCGCCCGCTGCCCCACGCTCTGCCTTGAGAGCCCCGTCAGGGGCTGGAGAGCGGCGCGAAAGAAAGATGGACAGATGTCCGTCGTCCCCCCGCCCCAGTCCCCGGTCCTGCGGCCTTTCGGAGCCCGGACGCAAGAGGGGCCGGGGCGGGGAGGGCCAGGCGCCCGTCCCGGGGCTCCGGTGCGCGGCGCTGCGGGCGGACAAGCCTGCGCGGCGACTGGGGCGTGGGGAAAGTCGAAGGGGGAGAAGCGGAAAATAAGTAAGTAAAGACCAAACTCTCCTCCTGAAGAGGGACACATTGCGGCACAGTTCGCTTTCCTGCGGCGGCAGGCGGCCCGCCCGGTCCGACACCCCCGGTGCTCGGCGCCCGCCCGCCGGCGCCCCGCCCGGAGCGCGTCCCCCGCTTCCCGAGCGCCCCGGCCCCGCTGCGGGGCGGCGGAGCGCCCCCGGCCCGGCCCCGCTCGCCGGCCCCGCTCACCTCATGGCCCAGCTCCGCGGGCGCCGCCCGCTCCCCCAGCGCCGGGCCGGGGAGCGCAGCGGCGGCAGCTCCCCCCGTCCCCGCGGCGGTGTCCGGCCCCGGGAGGCGGCTGGCGGCGGGGCGGCGGCGGGCGGGGCAGGGGAGGGCCGGGCCGAGGGGCGGCCGCGCCGCGTCCCCTCCCCTCTCCGCCCCTGCGGGGCAGCGCGGGCCGTGGGGGCGAGCACCGAGCGGAGCGCGGAGGCGTGTGCGGGTCCGAGATTGCCGGAGCGCTCCTTCGGCGGCGGCGGCGCTCCCGGGAAACTTGATGGAAACGGACTGTAAGTACCGCGGCTGTCCGGCCGCCGATATCGCCTCTGCTGCGGCCGCACGCAGTTATCCGTACTTGTGAGGATCTACACAACCCGCCACCTGCGCTGGTGGTGGTTATTTACTTCCCAGGAAGGCATTAAGAAACCTCACAGCATTAAGAATTTCCTGCACACACGTACTGGTTTTGCTTCCTTTACTTGAGGTTCTGTTGCAGATCCGCATCCCAGCAGGCTGAGGAGCACGGGAAGGCAGCATGTGCACATCCCCTGAAGCAAACGGTGGTTGTTTCTTCTTGTCCTGTCGCAGGTCATCCCTGGGGAGATGCTTCCACCTTCTCCATAACCACCATTTCAGTGCTGGGAAACCATGATCAGATCCAGCTGAGACTTCTCTTCTCCAGGCTGAACACAGCCAGTTCCTTCAGTCTTGCTTCCCATGGCAAGTTCATATTTAAACATCTCTGTGGCCCTCCATAGGAACCCCTCCAATTTTTCAGTGCCTCTTTTGAACTGGGGAAGACCACAGCTGGGGTCAGTCCTCCAGAAATAGACCCACAAGGGCCAAATAGAGTGGAATAATGGCATCCCTTGATCTCCTGGATATGGTCTTCCCCCCCCCCCCCCCTTCCGGTTTAAAGTAGATATCATTTCAATTTCCAAAGCATGATTGAATCACAATTGCTGTTAAGTCAAAATCCACTGTTAGGTCGTTTTTAACAGCATGTGTTGTCTCCATAGTGGCTGCAAGATCCAGCTAGGACTCTCACAGATAAAAGTAATCTATTGGGGCAGTTGCAAACATTGTACCAGCCTCTCAGCCAGACTTTTTGTCAGAAATCATGAACCCCATGGCAGTCAGCAGCATGGGATATGCCACTACCAGAGTTGCTACAGTTCACTGTTAAATTTATTAACTTAAACTGCCAGTGACAATACATATGTGCTAATATTATCATATGTTAATAACCAAGGCCTGGGCAACTCGAGAGTGCCCAATGTCTGTGGTGCAGCTGAGGAGGAGAAGTAAGGCAACATAAGGCAGTTTATAATTATAATGATACTGCAATCAAGCAGCATAACAGCTAGACCACTGAAATGTACTCTGGGCCATGTCTAGCTTCTGGTTTGTACTACTAAAGAAACCCTGGCAGAGAGAAACCACACTGAAATAGTTTCATTATTTCACTATGATAGATACTTTTATACTGGTCTAAAGATGTCTCCTGCAGGAGTGCAGGACAGGACTCCGTGGCTGTGTGAACACCACTGGGCTGTTGCTGTATATTTCTGCTGTTAATATAGCTTCCTCGGGCTCCTGCGAGTATAGACATTAAAAATGGATAAAGTAAGGTTCATGTTTAACACATGCATATAAGCAAGCAAACAAACACTTTCACAGATGTATTCTTTTTATTCGTTCTCTTTGCAGCATTATGAAACCCATGATTTCTGCCAGCAGCAAACTTGTTGTGAGCTTTACTCTCACCAGAAAGCTCTCAGTCTGTCAGTGTGAAGTGGAGAAATGCGGAGAGTCCAATGGTCCCAAAGTGGTCCATCAGTATCAAAAAGATTCCCAAACTGAATGAGGGTCAGGCAGTAAGTCTCAATGACTTCCCAAGTGGATGTTTAAGTAAACAAGGAGCTAAACTGCTGGGCTGGTTGTTGAAGTAATGCTTTGGCTTTTCGCAGAGAAATCAATAGATGCAAATCACATGGATACAGCCATATAGTAACCATCTGCTTTTAATAAAACACACAAAGATAGGAAGCGCACACACTTCTGTTCGAGGCATTTACTGACAGGCACCCAGCCTGGGCATGACCAGAAGAGGTACCACCTCAACTCTTCTGCTACAAGTGGTCCTTTGGACACAGTGCAAGGCCATGAACTTCATGTCTGGTTTCTGGGAGAAAGCACTCGGAAGTTTGCATTCTGGGTCCAGCACCCAGATGTGTTAAGAGTTGCTTATCTAGTTGCTTACTGTCTGAAAAGATGGCTGAATATAGGCAGGGAAATGTACTTTTCCTTTAATCTCATTCAAAGGACAGACTGAAACAGCTCTGCTGAACTTTTTGAAAGGGTTCAGATCAACCCTAGGGCTGAGACATGGCATGGAAAACTGAGCAGCTGCAGTTAAAAAGCCCTGAAACCCACAACACTCAGAGAAGGCAAGGCTAGATGGGTCTTTGAGCAGTCTGATCTAGTGAAAGATGTGTCTGCCTATGGCGGGGCGGGTTGTTGGATTAGATGATCTTTAAGGCCCCTTCCAACCCAAATGATTCTATGATCTAGAGTAGACTTCATTGGGCGGCTCAAGTGTTGGCTCCTCATGTTATAAATGAGTGGATTTTGCAAAAGGCCGATGCAGGGTTTAGCAGAGAAGGGAAGTCCAGAAGAGTGTCACTAGTGCAGGGTGTGCAATGGTGATATCAAGTAGTGTCTTTCTACCCGTTTCTACAGCTCGATTGCTGTGGGCTGTTCTGCCCTCTAGTGCCTGCAGCGACAGCTCCCTCTCTCTTCTCTCGGTTCCCCCTGTGCGTGCAGCACACACACACCCAGGAGCTGCAGACCGCCCCCCCACCCCCCCTTGCCACTCTGGGTGCAGAGCTGGCCACCCTTCGGCCTTACCTGCCTGCCGAGGACAGCTCCTGCTGGGGACACTGACCCAGCAAGGAAACGGTGTTGCTGCAATGTAGCACAGATGTACTTTTGTGAGGTGGACTGTCCCACTTGAGGAGTTGGCCTGTGAACCGACAGATACGCTAGGAAGTGCAGGCACATTTTGTCAGTCATGTCTGGTACCATTTCCAGTAAACCATCAGGAAAGGACGATTACAAAGAAAACCGAGACTGGACTTAGCATGTGGCTCCAGCCCCTCACCTGAGTTCCAGGAGTCAGGGACTTAACGAGGATTTTGCACTGGCAGAAATTCCTAGTGGGACTCTTTGAACTTGAAAAGCTTGAGGAACAACTGCTTTTGCTCTATTACCTGCTGAGATGCCCATTCAAGTTTGTGAGGAAAGACTAATATGAGTGAAAAGCAATTTATCTAACTGCTGTAGTAAAGTAAGGAAATTTTGTTCCAAGAACATTATCAAAGCACTTGCAAACGTTATTATGATGCTCTCAATGTCCTTCAAGCACAGGGTGTGGGACAGCAGTATTTTTCAACAGTAAATCTCACAGTTTTTTGATGTATTGGATTGTGTAGAAGGGGATAGTATTTCCCTGCCATTCATTGCACTAGTAACTTATTTTGATTTTTACAGCCTGTAATCAACAATGCCACATATGGAAAACATGTTTTAATGCTTTACTGTTGCTTAGGTTCCTCTTTCAGCATGGGTACGGCACGATACTTGTAAATAGAGAGGAATTAATTTCTTCTTTCTGAGCCATTCATCTCCATTTACTTGATGACTTGCCTGTTTGTTACTCAGTTTCCAAATCCTGTGTTCCTGCTTAATCTGATTCTTCCAGCTGGGAAGAGATGGGATCTGAAGGCTGTTCCTCAGCAACAGGTTGGTCAGTCTCTTCTTTCTCTGTGACTGGTTGGTCAGCAGCATCTGCCTCACCAGACACCTGGGGTGCTGCATCTGGTGGCCTGGGCTCTTCAGCAAGTGCTTCTGTCTGATCAGGCAGAGGCTGACAGCTAAATGCATCTAAGCGTTTTTCAACCACTGTACGAATCAAGGCTGAAACAGAAAGCCACCATTAACAAACATGGAGGAAAACCCCTATAATTTAACATTTTTTATATATTACTGACCTGTAACTTCTTAAACAGAGAAAGAACCCTGAAGTAACACTAAAAATGAAAGAATATTTAAGTGAGACAAAACCATCCCTGCTGCTGTAGCTAAATGATTGGTTTACACTCAATGCAGTGATTTGGAAAGGGTGCAATATTGGAAATTTTTGTTGATTTCCTCACATTTGCTTCTCACTCACAGAGCAGGTCACCCCATCAGGAACAAGGACTAGCCAGGTTACACATAAGGTGATGTTTTGGGCAGTCTTCATTCAAATAGGTTAAAAATGGATCCTTAGAGACTTTTCTCCCTGTTTCTCCTTAAGAGGGGAAAGAAGCCATGAACTGTCTCAGCTGAGGCTGTGTTTGCCTGTACAAAATTTGGGGGATATTCCTTTTGCAGAGATGATGTTTACTCAACAGTGGGTAACTGCGTAAAAGTCAGGAAATACAGAGGGTAAATAGCTGCTGACATTACTTATTGGCCTGTGCCAAGTGCTCTGTATATCTCAGAACTGGAGCAAGACTATGATATCTAGTTAAACAATTAAACAGATTTAACAGGAATGTGATAGATGTTCTCATCAACAGTGTATCCTGCAACAACATTATCCTAAGGATGTTTTAATTCAGTAGTCACATACAATATATTTTTTATTAAAAGAAATTTCCTTCCCCTCCTGAAGAGCTATGTGAAGAAGTGATCCTTGAATGTACATACTACCACATATATCAGGATAAAAAACCTAACAGACCAGCTGTAATTGTCCAAATCATACTATATCTTAACAAATAAAATTCAGGGTCCCAGTTAAACTGAAAATAAATCTAAAGGAAGCAAACACAATTTTAATTAAAACTCAAAATCCCAGCAAGAGGAAAACTATAGGAATGAGGAAGATGTAATGCAAGTGTAAAAAGTGGTTTGATCTAGGAGCACTCCAGTGGATATACATACATCATAATTTTGTGATTCTACACAAGAGAGAGTTCAGATTGTTCAGGTGTTTCAACTACAGCCTCTGAAGACCGAATAATAAAAGAACCCAAATACTTAGCTTGAACTAGCCCCCAAAAAAGACTGATATTTCAATCTATTTCAAAAGCAAGGACAAGATTATTGACTATAGCAGGAGGTAAGCCCTTGTTTTGATGAAAAATGTTGGTCACCTCACTTCTCAGTCAATCATGGCCTATGACTCTCCTCCTTTCATATAGGAGTGCTGGGAGCTTACACAAATCAATTAAGAGACTTTCATGGTATACATGTGGCAGTACACTGGATGGGCTTGTCTGTTCCCACTGGCATAATCAGGCACACTACAGAGAACATAACAGCAATGGTAGCTGTGTAACAGAGGAAGTAGAAGCTTTATAGCAGAAAAAAAGAATTGTGTTCTTTAACCATTCTCTTCCTGACACATGTTGTATCTCCCAGCATTAACACATCTCAAACAGTATAAAGCCAGGAGAGAGTGAACAGTGCAGCATGACTGACACTCCTATTATTTCAGATGAAAATCAGTTACCTAGTTGTATGTAGTAGTAGTTTTCCAACATTAAAACATTTTAATATAGTAAAAAAAAAAAACCAAAAAAAACCCTAAACACAAAGGTACTTGGAGTTCTTGCTAAAATGACACCTCCTGCCTTAATCCACAGTGACGATGTAAATGTGGTATTTGTTCTAACCAGGAAAAAAGCAATCAAGAACCTCAAGCAGCCCAGATTACATTACAGGATTTGCTAACTTACAGTCAAGCATTGTCCTCCCCAGAACCTTCTTCTGTAGTGTTTCTTCCACTTCTGACATCAGCCATGGAAGGAATTTTGTCTCAATATCTGCAAGAATTTAGCAGGAAGAAAGAAAGAGAAAATGCCATTTTATTAAGGATGACTGACAGGACTTGGGGGCTGTTTTTTATTTGCTGCAACAATTAAGGGATGAACCCCCCTGCCAGAAAACACCTGATTGTAAGAGTCAGATAAAATCTCTTGAGTGTTGTATGGTTTCTTATCTCCAGCCTCTCTTACTGAGTTCATCATTATGGACTCTGACCAGAGTCCTCTCAACTGCAGTGATTTTCAAAGAGGTCTGGCACCCTTGAAGGGCTAGCACAGTTGAGATATACAGTCATGTTCTAGTGAGATCCAAATAACTATCCTGAACAAGTCAGGAGAATAACACTTCCTGCCTTGCTTTCAAAGACATTTGGCGTGTGGTCTGCTGAAAGCATTTGTTCCCTCTGACTAAAGAGCTCTTGCTTACCCATGTACTTCTCAAATCATACTCTTTGTATGCTGTGGTCCCAAAGCCTGCCCTGGTTGCAAAATACACTCAGTTTCTGCATTAACCCCATGACTTATTCTGGAGAGAGTGTAGCTGTTCCCAAGCCGTGGTCTGCGCCCATGTGGAGCCTGGTGAAGTGGGGTGCAGCAAGGTAGCCCATAAGAAATGCTGGTGATTCTAAAGGCTTGGAGATCACTGATGTACAAGTCCAAAATTATTTTCAGGGCCTAATTCTAATTGACTAATTTCTCCCTTGCTCTGATAATCATTAAAAAATATTCAGAATGACATACTGATTTCTTTGTCTGTTCTATCAAAACATATTTACTTCAATTTGGATATCTCTCTCTTTCTCTCTACTGTACCAATCCTAACCACTCATTTATATCTGTCCAATTCCAAAGCAGATCTTTTCACTGTCACACTGTCAGCTCTTGCTTATTCTTGACTACTTGTACAGATGACCAATAATATTTGTTTGTGTTAAAACTATGAATTCAGCCACAAATGTAAATTAATAAAGTCTTATGACATTATTCTAAATAATAGAAGAATATGCTATGTTTTATGGTTGTTTTGAGCTTTATATTACTTAGTTCATATATTTTTAAAAAACAAATACAAACCTCTTTCTATAGGGTCATAAAAAAATCCACTGTCATAAAGATTGCTGAAGACTGAGGGAATAAGGTCAGCCAGGTAACGCTTAGCAAATGCCCGAGCTGCAATTTTCTCCGTGGTCTCTTTCTGCTTCCGCAGCTTTTCCAAGTGCTCGAGTCTGCGACGTTCCTGTCAAGGTAATTATGCATGTGAAACTTAGAGGCCTTTAGCTGTTACTTCTTTGATCTAGACTTTGAAGAATTATCACAGTGCGAGTCTCTTAAATTGCAAAGATAATCAAAACTGCAGATAATCACAGTCTCTACCTGGTATTTGCAGCCTCTGCCTTCCACAAAAAGTCCTCATATGAAAGAGTGCTTCAAAGCAAGCTTGTACTCAATCTATGAAGTATTAAAATGCCCAAAAATTACAGAGAAACACACTTCTGTGTTCTGTGGTCCACCTTTTCTGATTTTGGGAAGTCTGTAAAATAAGGGCTTCACAGCTGGCCAAATGAAACCCTTCTCTGATGCCTTAGTATACATTGATCTCATGCCTTCTTGCTTTATTATTGCAGATCAAGCTGATCATTGGCCTTAGAATGAGATGAAGTTGGATAGTGTTTCCTGAACTTTTCATCTTTCCAATATTCTATCCTATTTGATGATTAAAAAGATTAAAACTCAAATTGGTCCAGGAAAACATTAAAAACCCCAATTATACAAGACTGATGAATAGTGAGTAAGACTTGCCTTTTCTGTTTATTCCTATTTACCAAATATTAATAATATAGCATAATACTTGGAGATCTTGAGATGTACGTGTGCACATAGAGTAGTGCATGCATTGGGTGTGAAAGTCTAGGAAGTGTCTCTCTTACTTTTGAGCACTCTGACTATTAATTTAGAAGTTATTATAATGAAAAGATTTAAGAAACAGCTGCACCGGGTACAGAATAAAAAGCTGTTGGTCTGGTCTCTTGATCAGATGTCCAAGTATACCAGGTCACTCAAGCGTGACTGCTCCAAATAAACACAACAGTATGATGGTGGTGTATGAGAGCACGTGGCAGAGTGCAGCTCACCAAAATGCTAGGAGGAATATCAAAGTTAACAGTGCCCTTTGGGGTATATCCAGCTTATCTCACAGCTTGTCATTCAGTACTGGAAATGTTTTTCTCCCTTCTGATGAGCATTCAGACTGTTTTGCTGTTAGGCAGGAAGTCCTACCTTCTCCTCTCTGATACGCCTGTCCTGCTCTTCCAGGCGCTGTAATTCAGCAAACTCTGCGTTACGCAGCTCTATAAAGGCACGCTGATGTGCCCGCAGCTGGGCCAGCTCTTCTTCCTCCATGACTTCCAGCAAAGCCTGCTCAACTGTTTTCCCAATCAGCACTTCCAGGATTGGCTTAACTTCAATGTCAAAGTCAAACAACTGAGGATAAGAATCACGGAAACAGAGATAAATGTCCCTTCATCACAACTGCTCTTAACAAGTATTGGCAAGGAGAACAGGAGGCTGAACAAAGCCCTTGTGCTGAAGGTAGGCCAGAGAAGTGCAGGTGGGGCCAGTGTCAGCTGAGGCAGAAAGAAGCATGAGTGCAGCTGGGAGGTAAGTGATGAGTGGACTGGAGTGAGATACACACACCCTACCACAGCCACTGTTGGGACTGCCAGGGACAAGCTGAGCATTCACTTGGACCCTGTTTCTATGTTCCCCACCTGTTCTTGAGCTGGACACGTTTTACAGAAGAGCGCATTTTTCAGCACTGTAATTCTTAGCTGAAAGCAGCAGAACCAGTGCATATGGAGAAGTATCTTTCTTAATTTTGCACCTAACATCAAAGCAGACATTGGAAAGTTGGGTTGGGTTTTGGTTTTTGGTTTTGGTTTTTTTTTGCATGTTCTGTGAGGATTAGTTCCTTTCTGTTTCTACTTCAATTTTGCATCAGAAATGTGTTTTGCATGGGAGACATACTTCAACAGCACTTTGTGGACTGACTTTGCTTCATACCTCTCCTTCTTCTATTTGCGTAGCTATATCTTTTCCCGTTTTGGCTGGTATGAAGAGTGGAGTAGGTGGTCTGTCCAAAAATTCATCTGTTTGACACTCTCCATCAACCTCTACTATACGATCACAAATCTCTTCCAGATACAGTTCTAGAAACAAAAGCACATTGAATACTCAAAGCTGGATTCTTTTTATTTTAAGTCTAAACTATTTTGATGACTCTACACTGTGAATTATATCCAAAGAGTCAAATAAAATGTCTTATATAGAGTTAAAAAAAAAAAAAAGGCAGCTCAAATTAAAACATAGATGAGTTTGCTGCATAGGCCACCTGATGCTATGCTCCCTGTAATGTCAGGTGCACTTCATGGAAGTGATCCCCAAAAAGGGTAGTTCACTTGAAGCAAAATTTTTTAAACCTCTCAATTTTAAGCATATATGAAACTTCTCTGATGATCCTGGAAAAGGAAAGAATAAATAAAGAAGTCTTGACTAGCGTTCAAGAATGTACACTGAAAACTGCAAAACAGACCTTCTGGGAAAATGTCACTAATTAGACAAGTTTATAAAGGGTTATAATGGAAAGGATTATAGAACCTCTGATTCTAGCATTCTATGATTTTAAACTTATCCCTGTGTGATTCTACCAACTTCATCATCAGCTTAGCAAGTGAATATAGATCAGCAAGCTTTATTTTCAGATGCATATTAAAAAAAAAAAAGCCTTTTACCTGTTTGCACATAAACATGCTCTCTGCCTTCCACAGGCTCTGGTGTTCCTGGTCGAATTGGCTCTTTTGCACGCTTTCTTGCCAGTGCTCTTTTCTGTGCACCCTTCTGCTTTTGAACCTCAGGGGGATTGGGTTGGGTACTCTGAGCAGGGATGAGGAAGGAAAAAAACCACAAAACTGTGTACTTGAAAATGATATTTCATTCTTTCTACAGGAAATTGAAGATTGCTGTTTGATTTGACTGCCAGCAATCTAGCATTTTGGATTTACTTTTCTGGGTCCTGACTCTAAATTTTTGGTTGACTTAAAGACTGTAGGGCATGAAACTAATAAAATAGGCTAGCTGCCTACAGGCACATACTAATGGCATCTCACAGTAAGAGCATCCATTTGTTATTTGAAAGTGAATATGATATGTTTTTTCTGACAAGTGAGTTTTCAAATTTTGAGATGTCAAATGGACTTAAGTCCAATTATGATGTTATGAACACAATTGTTTGCTAGATAAAAATTACAGGACCAATTACTGCTGATGAAACAAAAGAAACTCATACTACCTTTTAAATTCAGTACTCTGCTTATGGATTGAAATGAACATCAGTTTTGAACTTCTTAAACAAAACTTACATGAATTCACTCTAAGAAACAGATACTGAACAACACAAGTTATTTACATGAAGTAGCTTTTAAAAATACAGACTGCTTTAAATTTGTATATGATCAAATTGTCTATGTTGAAATATTCTCTGAAAATAAAGTATTACATTTGGATGGGGTTCTGAGAAACCTGAACCAGTGGAACATCTCCCTGCCCATGGCAGGGAGTTGGAACCAGATGATCTTTAAGGTCCCTTCCAACCCAAACCATTCTAAGGTTCTATGACTTACTACTATATCAGGGTAAACAAAATACTTTTGCCTCCTCACAAGTAGCTTTTGCATACTGCTGGACCATTTAGCTCTGCTCCTATGCTAGGATAAGCCAAAGTCTACCCCAAGACTCAATTTCCCAGGAGCTGCAATTCTCCCTGATGACACCTTGCATATGATCACAGATTATGCAGTGATGACTTGTGCTTAGGATCATTACAGATGATCCTAGAAAGAAATGGAGAGGCAAAAAAAGGAATCACGTACTTAATAGGGGGAAAACAATAAATAAGAACTACAGAAGTTCATGTGAAACTAAGTGCTTTAAAGAAGAGCTGGAAACAGACACACGCTAGTTTAACTGTGACTATGTGAAACATTTTAAGTAAAATTACAGCTTCAGTAGTTAAAATTATAAATGAAGAACAGCTTTCCTGGCCTACCTATGACTTTCCAACAAAGCTGTAGCATGATCCACATTAAAAAACAAAACAAAACAAAACAAAAAACCAAAACCACATACCTGCGGCAGGAGGCGAATGGCTAAAGCGGGTCCCCGCGCCACTCTGGGGTCGCGCATGATGTTGCCGTAGCACACTGGCTGCTTCTCCCTGCGAGCAGCACAGACAGCGCCGGCTGCAGCACCGCACACCGCCCGGAGCGGCTCCGACCGGCCGCAGTGGGCAGCTCCCCCCGAGACACGGGAAGACGGGCTCCCCGGGAAGGGCGGCGAGGGAGCCGGGATGAGGGGAAAGGCGCGGGGGCAGCGGCACTCACGGCTCGGCGGCGTCGGGCGGCGCTCGGTACTTGGGGCGGGCGAGCAGGGAGCGGGGCTGGCTGCTGTAGCTGTAGGGCAGCGCGGGGGCCACCGTCAGCTCCGACGGTCGGGCGGGCAGCATGGTGGGCTCTGTCCGGCAGCCGTCGGGCGGTGCGGGGCGGTGCGGGGCGATGGAGTGCCGCTCGGATCGGGGCGGGGCGGGGCGGGCCGCGAGGGAGCTGTAACGGCGTCCGTCTCCTGGGCAACGCGCGGAGCATGCGCGGGGCAGGCGGCGGCGGGGCCGTTCGTAGATCCACAGAACGGCTTGGGTTGGAAGGGACTTTAAAGATGGTCCAGTTCCATCCCCCCGCCATGGGCAGGGACACCTTCCACTAGACCAGGTTGCTCAGAGCCCCATCCAGCTTAGCCTTGAACACTTCCAGGGCTGGGGCATGTACAGCTTCTCTGGGCAACCTGTTCCAGTGCCTCACCACCCTCGCAGCAAGCCATTTCTTCCTAATAGCTAACCTAAACCTACTCTCTTTCAGTTTGAAGCCATTCCCCCTTGCCCCGTCACTACATGCCCTTGTAAAAAGCCCCTCTCCAGCTGTCCCTGCAGGAACTGGAAGGCCGCAATTAAGTCACCCTTTGCTGTGCGCGGGTGTGGCTCCGGCGGGCGCCGGTTCGTGCCGTCCCCTCTCACGGGCGTGTTCCTGCCAGGAAGAACCAAACCCTCAGGAGGGTTAAGGAGGACGTGCCGGCCCACCGGGCACTGGGAAAGCACCACCGTAACCCATAAAGGGCCCCAGCGCTGCGGGGTAATGAGGTAATGAGGGAGTTGAACCGCGAGGTGTCACCGTCGTCCTGGTGTCGCTGGGCAAGCTCCTCAGGGACTCTGAGCTTTCCAGGGAAACCGGCGGTGACTTAACTTGATCTGCAGTGGCATTGGGGTGCAAAGATTGGCTGGGGGGGTCGCGAAAACCTGTTGGATGGCGTACTGGTGGCTTAGGTACTGATGTCGTAAAAGTACCGGCTCGAACAGCTGCACTCCAAATTTTGTGTTTTCCACACAAGTAGGGGATTTGGATACTGTAAAGGTGTTGTATGATGGGAGATAGGAGTGTGAGGTGCGTCCTCATATGCCGTCCCATCCATGGTGAGCTGCACTCCTTGTCAGGGCAAATCATGAGGACGTATTTTCAGATTATGTGAAAATTTTCCTTTAAGAGAAACATAAAAGCAATGAAGGGTTACTGATAAAGTGATAGCCTTCTTTTTTAACCTTTGTGGTTAGTGATATGCCTTGATCGCTTTAGCACGATAGAGTATATAAAACAGCCCATGACTTTTGTTTCTGAAACCTTTGGTTTAAATGTAATTCACGTGTGCAATTCTGTTTATTTCATCTCAGTTATGTTAGTGCTGCAGATGTCTGTGTTCTACCACAGCCCTGAGTAGACAGTCACAAACAAGAGAATTACAAATAGCAGAGTGTACTTCATAGGGGGCCTGGAAAGCATGAAAAAAGCTGTAGAACAGGAGAAACTTTTTAAAAAAACAAGTTAAAATCTCTACCCTAAACAAAAAAAACAACCCTACCAAAAAAAGCCAAGTGTGGGAGGCAAAGGAAAAGAAGGAATGTTTCTGTAATTCATTAATGGGCAGCTTGAAGAGTCAATATAGGAATGGGAGTTGTGTTGACTAGACTCTTGTTAGCTGGGTGGTAGGACAGAAGGATATCGGCCTGCAGGAGTACTGTTCAAGTATCACTGGGGTAAGAGGGGAGAGCAGTCCTTCAGGATTTGTTTGTGTCTGGGCAAGCAAAGTTAATGATAAGCATCTCAGCTGAGCCAAGTCAGAGAACTGTGGCCCTTGAATTTGGCCAGAACCAATGCAACCCTTTGATTTTGGAGACCTGACTCATATTTCCTTGAGTTTGGCTGTACAGCTAACTATACTGCTTTTAGACTGGGGACTTGAAATCCCGGTAGACCTTTCCAGGATTGTTAGGGATTTGGTGTTTCTATTCAAATGCAAAACAGCTTCAGCATAGCCTTAAAAAACATCCGTCTATACAGATCCGATAAGGAATGGAACGTGCTTGCTGAACAAACCAAGAAATTTGGCTGGAATGGACTGGGTAGGGAGACAATGCGAAGAGGGCCCGTAACCAGGAGGAGGAAGGACCAGTGGAGCAAGGATTCCTGCGGTGCTGACTGTTACCTATTGCCCACAAGTCTTGTGATGATGAAGGTGTTGCATCACAAGTTCATGTTGTTAAGCTGGCCCCAGCCTGGTACCTCACCTTTTGGGTGAATTTCTAATCCACCTAATAAGTGCACTGGTTGAATGGCAGCAACTCTCCTCCTCGCATCTGTGAAACACTGCTAACTCCTCAGTTACCAGTCTAGTGCAAAAGCATTGTATCGTTTCGGAGGGACGAAGGTCTCTGACTTGCAGGTTAGCAGAGCTTTATAAGTGACAAAGCCTCATCTCTTCTCTCTTGCCCCCTTTTATGTTGTTTTTTTCCTAAAAATACCTAGTGAGCTTATTTTTTTATATGTTTGTTTTCATGAGAATTTCCTGGCATTGTACCATGCCTTATGGCATGCCTTTGGCTTTCTTTTTTTGGATATGAAACAAGTTTAGTCACAGTAAAGCAAATGTGAAGTTGTCACTGTGTAGTAACAGAAGATGTGCATCCACTATTTCCTGCAGCACTTGGAATGGATTCTGTAACTAATGAATGACACCTTGAAATACGATATAAGGAGTCTACAGCGCTAAGCCTGGGTCTTCCTAGGGCACTAGCTTGGATGTTGCTAGCTTGGGAGACCTGGTACCACAGTGCGTTGCACAGTATGATGCTGAGCAGACTTGCTGTGTCCAGTTTTCAACATCTTAACTTTCTGCAACATTGCTTAATTAAGAAAGGAAGGAGGTTTATGGATACAGACAATGCTTAGATGTCAAGGAAGGACATGGAGGGGCATAATGCCTTCTCAGAACATTGTCTTCTCTTTGGAGGAGAACCATGGTTGCTTTTAAAAATATTGGAATGCTTTCATGATGTAATATTGTGTAATTACATGACATTTGGGTTAGATTTGATTCCCCATGATCCTGAGAGGGAATTTTAAGCTGCAGTTCTTACCCCTTTGGGCCTGCACATTAAGAAATGGATCTCCCACTTTGGAAGTAACTCTACTGGAGGTGAAAATGCCATGGCTTTTGAGAAGATATCAAAGAATCACAGAGCAGTTTAGACTGAAAGGGACTCTAGAGGTCTCTAGTGTAGCCTCCTTGCCTAAGTTGGTACAAATGCAAAGATAGATCAGATTGGTCAGGGCCTTCTCCTGCCAGGTTTTGAAAATCTCCAGGGATGGAGATACACAGAGTAGCCTTGAAAATCCCAGAAAGCATCAAGCTGCTGTTAATCAATGCTCTGAGATGTCTGACAGAAATACAAAGACCACAGTACTAACATGGAGAGCCATCAGTGTAACTGCAAAGATGAAAGAATTACAGAGCCCAAGAGAGGTGCATATATACTATTTGCCCTGACGCGGTTGGAAAACAATTAGTAGAAGTGCCCTGAAACCTGCGTTTAACTTGCTGCAGTGATGTGACCAAAGAAAATCAGCAATCCTGTGTCAGTATTGTATCACTGGTGTCTGCCAGCCCGCAGATGGTGTCTTTGCTGCTGTTCGTAAGCGCTGGGCTCAGTGCATCTGAGATAAACAGATGCTGCCTACGTATAGGCCTGGGCCTAATAGTGAGATACTTAGGTTTAAAAAATACAATGTGCCAGCCTGAGAGTTTTGACAGAGGAGAGACACAGAAGGAAAAATAAATACCAGAGCTAAACCTGAGTCTTACTGGTGACATCAGTATTTTTTAAGATTTGTTAATCTTCATATGTAATTGTGAATAGAAAAAGATGCAGATCCTATCACTCATATCTTCAACCCAAAATTATTAAGCCTCCTTTTCTCTGTAGAAGCACAGCTTCCTCTTAACCCCAGTTCTAAGTTTTTGTGTTGGGCAGGACTGGGAGGTTCGGTTTTGAAGACCTTAATTTCTCTGGCACTAGTTAAAAACTAGATTTTATTATTTATGGTTTCCAGACAAAATTTACAGTCCTGCTTCCCTCTACCACTTCACCTCTGAGTCTCAGCAACATTTTCCCTAGGTTCCCTTCCCTCCATGTTCCCCACAAGCTTTGTTTTGCAGCGGGACAAAGCTTCTTGTGGGGCTTGTATTCTTGCCCTATGCCACCATGGGACTTCCGAGACAGTAACTAGAAAGAATTATTGAGGGGTGGAGCAATGCACACTTAATTTGAAATTATCATACATTACGCTCTCAAATAGAAAATAAATTGTTGGTGACCTTCCTATATAAGCTCAAATAGACTGTGTGCTGCTATACCTCTCCAGCCCCTTCTTACCTCTCCCTGTCTTGAACAGGTTTCTCCCACTGTCTTTTTTTGCCCTAGGAAGATCTGCCTTATTTTCCATCTCCATGTATTGAGGGCAGTTGTTCAACTGCACTAAACTTGCAGAGTAAAAAACAAGACTCATCTGCTTCTGTTGCCCCTTCACGGTAGTCCTGGTGTTTTTCCATCTTGATACAAATTGCCCTTTATCACATTTCTGGGAGATAGAGCAGTAAAGTATTTGCTTTATTGGAGATAAACTGCACAGTCCAAAAACTGCACTGGGCAGGAGGCCTTTTGGAAAAAGCAGACCCTGATGTTGAGCGTGTTGAACTACAAGTCTCTGGTCTTCATCTCAAGATCATCCTCCCTTGATCACCTATGGAGAACTGGTGGCTGCTCTGCTCTTTCACACACCCAAAGACTTCTCAAATGCCATGTCTTCTGGTGTTTGTAGCTTTTAAGGTGGGTGTGCATCTCTGTATTGTATCATGTAACTTTGTGTACTCCTCAGAGTACAGTACTCTGTGAAGTTCTTGCATGATACTGTGGTTACTATGTCACCTAGCCGCCAGTTGTGCTGAAGAAGTCTGGTTGGTGAATTGCAGGCACAGTTGCACAGGTGCACTTGCTGTGTGAAGTCACAGCTTTATTATGGAGAAAAAATTGCAAGACCCAAGACTGTGCAGCAAGCATGCAGAAAACCAGAAAAATCTGCAATCTGTATGATAAGAGCATCTTCTCTAATCATCTGTCTTGGAATCTGCCTGGATTTGGCCTTAATTTTTTTTTTTTAAATATGGTTTTATGATTTTCGGCATGACCTGTGGGATATTGAAGGTGCGGGGTTTGAATTTGGACTGTAGCATCTGTTGAGGAAGTTGGTAGGAGGTTTGTGGGTTGTAGGAAGGAAGAGTGTCAAGCAGCCGTTGGATCAGTTCTGTAAATAGACTGTTGGCTAAAGAGCATGTTTTGTTTAGAAAGTGTGAAACCCTTCATAGAAACCTTTTCATATTATTACCTTGCAGAGGAAGCAGAGCTCAACAGAGTCAACTATGTTTGGAATTTATGAACAATTTGTTCAAACTTATATAATGACACCTCAGGTTAGAAACAGAAAATAATCTATGGTTTCCTCTCCCATTGCAGAAGAACATGTAGAATTTGGAATGGGCTTCACTCAGAGGTGAAATTTAAATTAATGTGTTTATCACTGCGAATGGAAAAGACTGATTTAAAACAATAAAAGTGATGTATTTATAGAAAAATGTTATTAGATATTTAGCATTTCTGAGTAACAGAGAAGCAGAAAAAGCCATTGTTCACCTAGCATCCACAGAGACTTGCAGGCAGCTATGGATATGATAGTCAGCTGACAATATGAGGACTATATCACTTCTCCAACAGTGGTTGCCCTTTTCCCATGGATCTTTCTCTCTGTCATTGTCAGACTTTTTAAATAAAAATTGCTCCATCTTCAGAATTTTTAGCCTTCAGAAGCTCCTCTGAAGTTTTTACTCTCTTCTGATGGCACAGGTGATAAGGACTGACTGCTAACAAAATTCAGAGAAAAATGTAACCAGAGCGCTTAACCAAGATGGGTTTCCTTTTCCTGTAGTTAGAAATTGTCCTCGTGGAAACATGATAGCCACACTGACTCATGCAAGCAGAGTAGCAGCACATTTTTATTTGTTCAGAGCTCGCCCCTGTGACAGCCAAATGCTGCAATCTCTTGGCCTTGCTGTGGTACAAAATGCTGTTCTCCAGCTTAAGAGACCTGCCTGTTGCGATGGAAAGTTGCAGTTGTCAAGTGCAGTTTATGAACGAAGAATGAGTCAACCTGGGAATAAGCAGTGCTGGTGTGGTGCTGCAACAAACCACCTGGTCTCCAGTGATTTATCAGCACCAAAACCAGAGCAGGCAGTAAAGAAATAAGAGCTCCTATTCCCAGACTAAAAATAACACAGATGGGATTTTTGTCAGCTGCGATACTTCTTCCTGTTGAAATTGGAGACATTTGATAGCAATATTATAAGAGGGAACATTATGGTAAAAATCGTCTGTGTGAAACTCTGTACAATATGTAACTGAGTTATGAGGCAGTAATTTTACTATTAGCTTTTAACATTAAAGTATATATACTCCAAGCAGTATCCCAAAGCCATATATTTTGTCACTAGTGCTACAGGAAAATAGAGATCCAGTTCCAAGCAAAAGGCTGAAGAGACACAATCCCATTATAAAAAACCTCCCAAGTTCTTGGCTTTATATTAAGTGTTGGAATTGTGGACCACAGTCACATTCTAGACAGTGGTTCAATCCCAAAAAGAACAGACTTCTGGGTAACCCATGCCAAATACAAAGTGTGGACAGTTATGCTCCAAGCTACTAGTTAGTATAAAGTTGGTGTGATTGTGTTAGTTATATACTTTTACAATGGGTTCATACCAGCAATCTGTGTTGCCTGGGGTACCCAGGAAGCAATCATGGGAGGAAAATACAGAAGAAAGATTTTATGTTGAGTAGCGATTCTGTTCTGTGACTATGTCCAGTGAAGGGCTTTCTTGGGTTATGCTGTAGCAGTTATCACAGGAAGTGACCATGGTAGTATCATGGTGGTAGCATTTCCATCATTGCTAAGTGACCAGAAGTTGTTCTTCCTGAGGTGTGAAGGATTCATCGTCTCTTTAGTTTTCACAGTTCTCAGAAACAACTGCCCTTCAGATAACAGCTTTGAGAAGAGGTCAGACAGGTGAGAAAGCTTCTTCCCCAAGACCTTGCTTGTAGAGGCAGAAAATAATCAGTGTACTGACAATGCAAGTTCCAGAGAACAGGAGCATATTACCAGAAATAATCCCTTACATCATAGCTTGTGAATTGCTTTGGTGAGGCACAGAGAAAATGGCTTATTTTTACTTATTATTTCACCTTAACCTAGCTCCAAATCTCCTTCCATCATAGCTGAGAGTCCGTATTTCCATACAACAAGAGATGTGCAGACCCCTTGCTGAAATCTCGTAAATTCAAGGGCCTCTGTCCATGGAAGTTTCATCCTGAGGTTTTCCATAGTTACAGCTGTGAATTAAGGCCATCACTGGGCTCTACGAATTCTGTATTTTTTTTTCTTGTAGCTTACAGAGATTTTCCTGCTCTTATTCCGATTCTCTGCATTTGCAGAGACTAAAAAGGGGGGGGAGGGGGCATGGGGACAATATGTGTGAAATTGAGGCTAGATGAGTGTTGATGGAGCTTATTGCAATAACAACCAGTGCAGATATGAGAGAAAAACATGGAAGAATTGGAAAAGGAAAACTGAAACTGGCTGACTGAGAGAAGTAGGTCTAGGGATGGAGAGGACATAAATGAAATTGAGACTTTGACAGCAAGTCCATAGGGATAGATTGGGTTTTGTTCAATTAAAAGAGACATAACTGGATGAGATGAGGAATGCAGGCAATGAAATTGAGAGGCAATGAAAATGAGGCAGAGGTGAGGAGTCAGGAGTGGAGAAAATAAAGGTCTGAGTCAGGGTTGTCTGTGATGGCATGGAACAGAATGCCAGAATTAAGATTTTCTCCTTTGCTGCACAACCTTGGTTCCTCCCCAGAGCAGGTGCATCCTGTGGGGAAGAACAGAGTGCATCATGTGATTGAAAACAACAGCCGGATGCAAACACAAGGAACTGAATTCAAGCTGCACCAACAGTCTTAATTCCAGCATTGCCTTACAAGACAATGGCTTGGATTTTCTGCTTTAATATTGCTTTCTTCCTTTTTCTAGTCCTATATGCTTTGTATGTTTAGAGTGTCTTCATGAAATTAGAAAATTGGGTGTGTGAAGCAAGTGATGCAATAGTGATGATGGGGTAACCTGTGGAGAATGGGAGGCTTATTGCCATCATTCAATTTTTGTGCCAAAATCTTTTGTTTGATCTTTCTGCCTGACAAGTTAAAGGCAGCTTTGGCAAAAGCAATTGTAAAACAGATAACTCACTCGCTGGATATAGCAGTTAAAGTGCCTTACTCTTGGAGGCCAGGATAGCTGGGCTGGATCTTAGAATGTGATTGGACTGGTAGCACGATGAAACTATTTTCTGAACCAAAGGCAGATGAATAAGTGCTAAAGCAAAGCTCTCTACTTTCTGTGTCATCCTAGGCCTTTGAGGTCTCTTACATGCTTATATAGAAGAGAAATCACTTCTGTGGAGAAACATGACGTGAAAATAATGCTGACTAAACAGCCATGTCTGAAGGGGTGAAGGAAGTCAAGTTACCCATCAAAAAGGAGGTAAATCTCTTTTGAGGTCCTTTTACATTCAGATTTTGTTTAATTATGGTGTTTCCTGGACTGAAGAAATGCAAGAGCAGGGTGAGGGTGACTGAACCACTCTTTCATTCAACTCCTTCACCTTACCCCTTTTTTGTTAGTTATGTGTAGAGCTCCTCTCTCTTCCTTTTTCTGCGTTGACTGAAATGCCTTACAGGAAGTTCCAAACGGTCTTTCTTATTCAGGAGCTGGAAGATTTAGACTCATCTATATTGAATATTTAAGCCCAGGTAAGCTTTCTTAGTGTGATTGTCCTATCTGCCTTAGGACACCTTGAACCTAAAGAGAGACTTTCCTCATCTCTGGTGAAGTGACCATACTTATTCACCCTGGATTTTCTGCTGGTTAGAGGGCAGGAATCTTGAGATCCTTATTCTTGTCACACTCAAAAAGAATGAGTCACTTACCAAAGAAGTAGCTGTATTATTTAGCTGTATTATTGTTTGAGTATATTTTGAGGTTTGTGTTTTCTGTTCTGTGGCTTCTGAGCCTTTCCTCTGCACGTGGATTATCTCTTCACGCTTGTTCTGCCACAAGGGCAAGACGCTTTTGTTTTTTACAAAAGAAAACTGTAATTCCCACTTGACACAGGGCAAAATGTAGAGAGCACAAATAAAAATACATGGAATTCCATCTGAATGCAAGGAGACACTTTTTCACTGTGAGGGTGGTCAAACACAGGAATAGGTTGCCCAGATATGTTGCAGAGCCTCCATCTGTGGAAATATTAAAAAACTGTCTGGACATGGTCCTGAGCAATCTGTTCTAGCTGGCCCTGCTTGAGCAGGGAGCTTGGACAGGACAACCACCTATTCTGGACCACCAGGACCACCTGGCCTCACCTATTCTGTCATTCTGTGATCCAGGAGTTGCAGATTCCAGAAAATGGTAAAGGCCTTTAGTAGCTTGCAGCCAAGCCCTCTCATTCAGCTTGCTTGGAAGCAGAGTGCCACTGTTTAGGGGGCTGAGTGAAGTGGCATTTTCCTCTAGTTGCAGCCTACCAGTATGATCCATCTCATATCACTTCTGTCAGATCAGGCACTCTCCTTCCCTTTTCTCTGTGTCCTGTGAACACCTACACTTGGAAAACATTCCTGAGAAGCTGGTGTGCTGCTTTCTAATTGGCTCCACTTTTGGAACAGCATCACCTCTTCGCAGCTTCCTCTCCACCTCACTGAAAACTGCTGTTACATGGCAGTATAACTAGTTTTCCTGACAGAGGGATTCGTTCCCAAAATGTAGCCTGCGGCCTCTTACAACAACAGCAGTGATACTGCTAGTCATTTACTTAGCTTCCATCAACTTAGCTATGCCATGTCATTCAAGCAGACCTGCAGTGCCTGTAGAATAGTATAAAAGTAGGTACCATATGTGTAGGGCCTAGATGTTTCAAAAACAATGGACAGTTTAGCATTCATGCAGAAAAGTGTTTTATTGTAGTGAAGTTACACAGGACAAAAAAAGTCTCTCTGCTTCCTGATTCAAGACTCTGCTGAGCCATAAAAACACATTGCACTTCCAGTCATATTTACAAGATTATAAGGACATCACCTAGTATTTTGGAATTTGTCTTTTTTTTTTTTTTTTTTTTTTTTTTTTTTTTTTTTTTTTTTTTTAATGAGCTTGAACTATCTAAAGCTGAAATCCAGAATATTTCCCTACAGGAGTTTTTGGTTTAATTTTTTTTGTCCTCCTTCTTTCTTTCTTTCTTTCTTTCTTCCTTTCTTTTCTTAGCCTATCCAGTTTATTTAAACTAAAACCACTTCAGACCACATGAGGGTTACTTGACACATTGTCATAATGACCTCGTAGGGTTTTGGTACCTCTAACCCCAGGCTTGGTAGACAACACTAATGCTGGTTAGTGCTCAGATCATTTTCATCACCAGCAAGCAGGAAGACAGAATGGCAGCAGGTACAGGAGGTTTATGGAAAAGTACTGAAGTGTCCTTGATGACAGAACAGGTCTTCCCCCTTTAGGATAACTGCCAACCCAATTCTTAATGTAGAAAATCAGCAAAGCATTGCATCACTTGGCACATACATAACAAATGGTACAGTCTGTGACCATACAGAACACAAAAAGAAGGTGAGACAGGTTTTGGACCTGCCAACCTTTTAATTGTCCTTTCAGGATACAAATACAACATGGTTTATCATCTACTAACTAGTTTTCCCACACAACAGGTTATGTACAACACACTCGCTTACATTTTTACATAATGATATACAAGTCTTCACCACCACCACCTCTTGTGGTGAAAGAACATAACATGTCAAGCTGACAGACACTTCAGGAAGAAAAAGTTCATGCAGACCTAGCTTATTCTTAGTCTCTTGAAAGTAAAATCTTACAAAGGATGAGAAGATATCTATTTTTACAGTATGTACAGTGCAAAGAGGAAGGATAGGCTTTTTACACGTATGATTCCTTAGCATACTGGATCTGGTCTGCCTCAAAAACTGGCTGGCTGCACCTCCGAGCAATGTACTCAAGTTTGTTCTTTTGACAGGATTCAGACATGGCTCTCAATCGGTAGAGTCCTGGGGTCACAGGTAAATTCACACGGGAGTTTACTCCCACAGTGACACTGAAGGTTTCAGTTTCCACATCAGAATCCTTCGTTGCAGAAACTCTGGCACTGGGTAGATCCCTTAGAGCCATATATGCTGTATCCTGTGCACTGTTGCTGCATGGATGAGGCAGCGGAGCATCCTGGTTTGACACCGCTAATCTCATAGTTTGAACCGTGAGATTGTGGGAGGGAACTTTAGTGGCCAGAGAGTTTTTAACAGCCTCTTCATAAGAGGGTGGTCTTCCAGGATTCCTCTGGTCTACCTCTCTGAACACTTCATCAACCGACCTGAAACGGGGCCTTTGCTGATACTCCACAGGCAATGGTTTGTCATCATTAGGACTGTTCTCCTGGACAATTCTGCAGCAGAACTGATCTTCTTTCTTTGTGAAACTGTCTCTCTGAAAAAAAATGTTTTTTCCAGGCCCCCAACTCTGGGTTTTTATTAGTGTTTTCCTGTGGTTTGCAAAAGAGAATGACATGGAATGTTTTTTGATCTCTCTGATAGGTGTACTGCAGTCTTCAGTGGCCTTGGTGGAAAAGGACTGGGGCCTATTTAAAAAGGTTTTTTTGGGACTAGAGGGTGAAACTACTGGGGAGCTGGTGAAGACTGAGCCATCAGAGCTCTCCAGGGAGCAACTGGAGGATGTTTTGGGTAGAGAGTCAGTTGATAAATGTGAAGGTAAGACTGCAAGCCGTTTCTCCAGTGCCTCCAACCCCAGCTGTTTCTGGGGAACTGGAAAATTGTCCTCACTTTTATTTAGCTTCTGTTTCCTTATTGTGCTATCAAGGCAATTCTGGAAGGACAAGTCTGACTCTGAGTACCTCCTATCCATCATGCTGATGTCATTTCTGAAATTAGTCAGTGAAGAGGCAGAGATGTGTGTTGGATGTCTTCTGCTCACAGTAGCATTCCTCCCTTTGTGCTGCTCCATCTCAGAGGTACAGGGGCTGCCTTCAGCTTCGGGATCTGGGCTGTCATAGGCAGAGTCATTCTGACGAGCAGCACATAGCTGTTCTGTAGGGAGAAAGCAGGCATTAGTTTTCACTAACAGGCTGAGGATGAAAGAGAACTATACAGAAAAAAATCCTGCAGAAGAGCACTGCAACAGAGTCTTGAACCCTCTACAAACATCTGTGTTTCCACAGATATATTCACATATCAAATTAAAGAATTCAGCCCAGCAGCCCCAGTCTGTGACATCCCCAGTCCATTCTCATACCTGTGGAGCTGTCTGTGTGCTCTGGTGACTCCTCAGCTGAGGCACAGACAGGGAAAGCAGTGTCCTCCTCAAATATTTCTGAGCAGTTGTTTATGAGGAACTCCACCAACACTGTCACCTGCACACAGAAAAAGTTCATTTCAGTCAAAAGGGAGGAACAGCTTTGGCCTCGCTGCCCAGAGGACCCATGGGTGACAGTGCTCACTGTGTGCCTCTTGCCCTCTGCATGCAAAGTATCCAGGAACTGTGCTGGGACTTAGGGGACTGTGGGGCAGCTGCTGCTTTTGCTCAGAGGAGGCAAAATGAGGGGCAGTCTGGCCCATCAAATCGCAGGCTGAGGGCCACCCTTGATATCCAGGGGTGCTGTTCTGTTGAGCTTTTGCAATGGCAGTGGGATCCCTATGGATGGTTCTGAGCTGCCCCAAAGGGAGTGGCTGCTTGGTCAGTTCAACATACCTTGTCATTCATCTCCTTCTGTACTTCCAGTGGGAGTGTGCTGTCCATCTCTGGGCTCAGCATATTTGGGCCAACACAGATGGCCAGGTTGCTGGAGTCCATCCTGTTGGTCTCAGCATTTTGGCTGATGTGGCGGAGCAGAGAGAGCAAGTGCTTGAGCAAGACGAGGTTTGGTTTAGGCAGCTTGTCAGCCACCCTGCATGAACAGAAACAAAATGTGACATTGATTGATGGTGCAGTGGCTTCTGCTTCTCTATTTGAGCAAATCTCAATTAAACTCAGACAGACAACCTTCCTTTAGAAAGAGTCATGTGAGCGTTTTATTCACTGCTTAGGAGAAGTATCATTCATAAATCCCCAACCACAGCTGAGCATGTGGTTAAGTACAAAATTTTTAATTATGAGGTCTTGACTGAAGGGCAGCATTGCAGCAGCCCATGTTCTTGAGTAGACTTTACTGTCAGAAGATGTGAAAGGTTCACGTCAGTGCCTGTCCCACAGCACCATGACTGTTATCTGAGACACTGCAGCCTCTGCCCTATTCCTAAGCTGGTTATTTCATAAAGCAATCTCAAAAAAGTTCAGGAAATGCTGCTGCTGGAGCCCTCTAAACCAAGCCCCATGGAGCAATAGCAAGCTGATATAAATGATAGGCTTTTAAATGAGACTCTTAATTCTGAAAGACATCGTTGGCCTCTACCAGCCGC